CAACCTCTCGTCAATATGCGTTTTTCGCATTGCATTGCTGCAAAAAACGCATAAAAAGCAAAAAATTAACAACTTTGCTGAGATTTAACTGGCTACCTAAGACAGCATGAACTGCTAATAAATTTTTGAAGCTAAACAACCGAGTTCGCGGTCTGAAAACAACAAATTAAAATCAATAAGGTAAAAACTTTCCGTTCACAAAACAAATATCAAATCATTGAAACCACACACACAGAAGGATAGGCAAAGCTGTCACAACCGCACATGAAGGAAAAGTTGCAGGCTAGAGCAGCGTAGAAGCTGCACATGGACGACAGCGAATGAGCTGCCCAAAATACGAGGGAAGCAAAAGTAAGCTCGAAGATGCAAAATTCAAGTAAAAACTGAAGCGAGCCCTTCAAACAACAAATTAATGCAAGCAGAATGGCGCAAAGTCAGAAACGCCATCATTGTCATTTGATTAAGCAGGATCGCTTCAGTCAGGAATCTAGTGTAGGCTCATTTTTGCTAAAATCCGTGTCAGTGAAATGACCCAAGAATTTTACCACGGTCTCAAATTTGTCTTGTCACTAAGATGAGATGCATCGCTGCTAAGCTCTTTCACGTAATGGCCATTCGATTTTTTGACAAATTTTGACACAGTTGCTTGGCCGACATATTTCCATGAGCCACATAATATCTGGTGAATTGCACCGATCGGAGCTCCATGTGAGACCAGCAGCACCACGGTACCTCAAAGCAACGATCCGATAAGATAGCAATACAAACACAATTGAAAATAAGGCACTCGGTAACAGAGACAAGGAAAAGGGATGCCGGAAAACAGTGAAGAAGGAAAAGGGCGAATGCTCCTTTTCCAAAACAGCAGGTGAAACAGTCACGCTTTTCTAAAGTGAAATTTAAGAAAAACAGCGACACAAAACATGCAAATGCTAAGAGTATGGCTTTATTTTTGTTGCACAAGCCTGCCCAGAAGCAGTGTTGGGCAGCGCTGTTCCTGTTCGAGCAAGCTGAGTGTTCAATTCCACCAGTGGACGTTAATCCTCTACGATTCGCTAACTCAATTCGATAGCAAACTGGAATTGGCTTATGCAAGAAAATCAACATAGCTGCACGCCTATTTTCAAGCAACTTTTACAACAGGAAGTCACGGCGGGCAATCCTGCTTGCGGGTAGTTCTGTAACGCGTGCTACCATCCGACCTATTCGAGTGCCACTGTCCCAAGAAATGAGAAAATCTTTACTAAGCAATCTTCAGAATGGGCTGTAAAAAGATAATTTTTAGCGCAAACGTTTTTCTAGATGAACACAGCAACAGGGTATAATTGATCCATTGCGTTAACATTTACCCGAAGTAAAATTCATGAGCTCCGCTGGAAAGCAGCACACTTCGATACTTTCCGCAATAAAATGCTACTGTTGGTATTTAACGTGCTCGGCGCACAAACATGTAAATTACTTCTCAAAAAAGAGCTATACGATGATCTTACTGTCAGTAGGAGTGCTGCAAAGCAGGCCGCGTTCCAGAAGAAGCCATCGCAGAGGAAATATCTTTCGATTATACACAATGCTCAATTCAATAAACTGATTTTTGTTCAAAATTCTAAGCATTTTGCGCGGCATCAAGCTCTCTCCAGTTTATAAAAGGCCCCCTCCCCCCTCGAAAATTAAATTTTATAAAAAAACACTAATCTGTGCCTTCTGTTGGTAGCCTTAGTTATCTAAGTGCCGCAGCTAATTCACCTCTTTCATCCACTAGAAACGCTTTAGCGCTGACACTAACTTCAAATCTCTTCTACTAATGCTCACTGTCGTGTTTCGGTGCAACATTTACACGGGAAAAAATTCCCTTACTGGTGAATTAGTAAATCCATCACGAAGAAAGAAATTATCAGAGGAAAAATGCAGTAAAGGTTTATTTTATAGCAATGAATACCGGGAAATCGCTGCTCAATTCCTTCCAAAGTTTTCTGTACTCGACCAGTGCATGCTTCATCACCAAACCCCTCACGTGGTAGCTTCCACGGCATTACTGATTCGTAGGATGTATCAATAAGAGGATATTTCTTTTTTAATACATCCAGGCTTTCGTATCCTGGTGGATCATCACACATATATAACCCCTGGAAAGCTCATTGGATTCATAAGAAAATGCAAAATAAATGGCACGGGGGCATACGTGCTACCCGCGGGTACGGGGAAGCTGAATTTAAATTTGCGTGGTCACACATGGGTGGGAAACGTTCCCCTAAATTTTCAGCTTCTTAGCTTCTGTGGTTTCCGAGTTGAAAGTTGCGGACAAGTTGCTGCGGACACACACACAGGCATCCCCATGACAATATGCGTTTTGTACTGCTGTTACACAGCACAACGCATAAAAAATGAAAATATGAAGCATCAAGTATTCAGTGCGCACATTTTTTTTAAAACTTTCAGACTTAACCAGCATACCCATTTTCGCTTTTTGGAAAATCAACAAGAGTAACACTGAATATAAATCAATTAGTGACCACGAATTGGGTTAAACCTAGTCTCAATCTAATATAGTGCAGTAAACTTTCTTAGAATCAGTTCTTTTACTGCTGCTCTGATAAGCCCAACATACGGCAATGAAGAAGCATCGGAAGGCGATTTATTGATTCATGTATTTTGTACTGAATGTTTTGCAAATACAACAGTCTTTTTTATGCGTTTTTTGCAGCAATGCAATGCGAAAAACGCATATTGACGAGAGGTTGTCTGTGTTCGTGTGTGCGTCTGTCACGCACTTTCATCTCAGGACTTATAAAACCTGCGAGGCTGAAATTTCGCGAACTTGACCTACATGCACGTGCCGCCCCAATCCCAAAATGGGCGCCAAAACCCGAGTGGTACCCGCGTACGGGCCCGCCAAAGTTTTTTTGGAGTCAGTTCGTAACTTGAGGATCTGAGAAGCTAGAAGGCTGAAATCTTGAGGTAATTTTCCCCACCCAAGAGGCTATTAGTGCGCTCAAACCCAGCTCCCGGGTAAGCGTGGCACCCCCGTACGAGCCCGCCAAAATTTTTTTCGGGTAAGTTCATAAATCGGGGTTCTGATACGCTAGAAAGCTGAAATTTCAGAGGAATGTTCCCTGCTCAAGCAGGTGCTAATGAGCTCAGATTCAGCCCCCGGATAAGCGTGGTACCCGCGTACGGCCCCCAAAATTTTTCCCGCGCAAATTCATAACTCGGGGTCCTGAGATGCTAGAAAGCTGAAATTTTAGTGGAATGTTCCCCGTCCAAGCAATGCTAATGAGCTGAAACCCAGCCCCCGGGTAAGCGTGGTACCCGCGTACAGGCCCCCCAAAATTCTTCCCGCGTAAGCTAATAACTCGGGGTTCTGAGAAGCTAGACAGCTGGAATCTTAGGGGGGTGTTCCCCGTGTAAGTGGGTATTAACGAGTTCAAGCCCTGCCCGCGGGTAAGCGTGGTACCCACATACGGACCCGCCAGAATTTTCTTCGTGTAAATTGACAACTCAAGTACCTGAGAAACTAAAGGAATGCAATTTTAAGAGGATATACCCCGTCCACCCAAGTTTCATTTAGCTCGAACCCTGCTCTCAGGCATCACTGGTAAACGTGCACGGGCCCGTGAAAATTTTGTCCCAGTAAGTTGCTAAATCAGGTGCCAAGGAAGCTAGAAAGTTGAAATTTTAAGGGGATGTTCTGACAGTTCTGGTGGCCAGTCTTAATTTGTTTAGCTAGATGCATTTGCTGAAAAAAACGGTGCCGGTAGCTACAAAAACTGCGGGAAACCATGAAAAAAATGCATCTTCGTACGGGCAGCCCGTGTGTTGGCCAATTATTTTAATATAATTCTGTCACTGTTATTGCTATTCAAAGGCGGTAACATACTTCTACACAAACAAACTACAAATCTGAATAAACAGCACCACCTTCTTGATGTAAGCGCATTCTCTGGCATTTATGCGCTAAAACTCACTCACTTTTCAAAGCAAACCAAAGTCTTCTGGTTAAATTTTCCGCTCAGTTGCTGAAATTTTTGGTTAAGTAAAATTTTAAGCCTCCTAAGTCATCTCTTTTTCCCACACGTGTAATTTTAGTGTCCCACATCACGGAAGAACAAGTACCCTACAACACTCCCTTCTAACCCCTCCGATAAGACAGCGCTTGAACTGTAAGGGAAAATTATTTAATAAAAAAGACCCAATCAACCGTCTCCAGCTTTTTCAATAAGACTCGGAAATGTCGCCACCTACTGCTTCGATAGCGCGTAGCTACCGATAACAAAACGAAATCAACCGGCTTGCTCCAAACATCTCCTCCTCCTACCTAGTGCAGTATGGAAGTAGGCTTAACTTTTGACTAATTGCATTTCACAAACATATATTACTGCCTAAAAGAATTTACTTCCGTCTTGAAAGCAATAGTAATTCTTTGGAATGCCTCTGATGCTTCGCATGTATATATAAAAGCACAACAAC